CCCCCATTATGTAAACATTATGCACTGTAAACATGCCTGCACTGAGAAGCCCGGTGTGGTGGCCCATGCCTGTAATCCCAGAACTCGAGGTTGAGGCAGGAGAATCATGGTGAGTGTGAGGCCAGCCTGGGCTACAAAGTAAGCTCAAGGACAGCCTGAACTGCATAGATTAAAAAAAAAAAAAAACTATAAAAAGGAACTAAAATTCAGAATGCCTTGAAGACAAGGGAACTGTCTTTTCTTTTCTACCCTAAACTTCATTATATGTCACCAGAAAGCTTTATACGGTCTAAAGCAATATAGCGAAATTTTAGAGACTACCCAAACTGCAACCCCAAACCCAATTATCTATAGCAAAGTGCCAACACTGCAGCTAAATCTGAGCACTGAGGTTTTAGTTTAGAAAAAACAGCTCATGACGCCATCACAGAGAGTGGTCTGTGTGCTCACTGTGATTGACTAATTTTGCACACAGACCATAGGTTTGCCATCACAGCTCTAAAGTCTAGCACATTTTTCTGAGTAAGGCAGTTACAGTTACTCTTCATAGCAGCGACAATTAAATGAGATAATGAAGATAAAATGGTTAACACAGGAAGCCAGGTATGGTGGTACACACCTGTAATCCCAGCACATGGAGGGTGAGACAGGAGGATGGCCACAAGCTCAAGGCCAGCCTGGCCTACATGTTACCCTTCCCTGTAGAAAAATATGTGCCCTGTTGTTAATCATAGAAATTTTTAAAAATCTTTTTGAGACAGGGTCTCACTATGCAGTTTAGGCTGGCCTTGGGTTCACTTTGTAGTTCAGGCTAGTCTTGAAATTGGAACAATCTTCCTGCCTCAGCCTCCTGAGTCCTGGGATTACAGGCATGCACCACCATACCAGTATAATCATTGGATTTTTGTTTTTATTTTTCACCTTTGAGACAGGGTCTTGCTGTGTAGCCCAGGCTGACCTCCAACTCACCAAGCCTCTCACCTGCTGGGATGACAAGTATATGCCACCATGACAAGTTTGTTAATCGCTGAATTTAAGCAATAACATATTGGACATACAGCACATAATCAATAAACATTTTGATATAGGGGAAATAATATAACTCTCAATCTGTTAGATGTTGGATATACCAATGTCATGTTCCTCAAAATTTAGAAATGAATTCTAAAAAACAACAGAGATTAAAAGTAGGAAATATTTACCAAAAAAAAAAAAAAAAAGGTAGGAAGCATTTATTGAGAGAGAGAGAGAGCTGCTGAAAGGAGGGGACCCTGGGGCTGGGGATTTAGCTCAGCGGCATAAGCACCTGCCTTGCAAGCAGGCAGTCGTGAGTTCGATCCCCGGTACCGATAAAAAAGAAAAAAAAAAAAAAAAAAAAGAAAGAAAGAAAGGAGGGGACCCAAAAGCGCATTGCCACAGATGCCACTTCACAGAGAAAGTTTCAAAGAGCAAAATCACAAGGTGGGTACAATGTGGGTCAGGACTATGATCAACCAGTAAGATTATAAGTATAGCCTTTTGGGTAATGTTGTAGTCAGGGTTTGTAAGATTTAATACAGGACACTTAATTTATAGGATTATTTTATTATATTCACCAGAAAAATCAAATGCAGAAGAGTGCAAGAGATCTGTCAACACACTAGAGACCCAAAGAATCCCGCTGAGGGTCTGCATGGCAATGTGCTTCACAAGTCCAGCTGATGACCTAGAGCCCAAGACAAGGTCCTCCATGAGTCCAGCTAGAGGCCTAGAGCCCATAACAATGTCTCATGCAAGTTTGTATCAAGGATCCGCACTGGGAAGATCCAAAAACCAGTGGTAGAAGCTAAAAGTCTGTGTCAGGGGATTAAGGATCTCTGCCAGCAGGCTGAGGGGTCTGCACTGGTGCCAGGAAACAACACTCAGGTAAGGACCAGAGCTCCCAGGAAGAAAACTGCAACCATCCTCAGCAACAGCAAGGTCCCAAGCTTCTCGGACAATGAGAACAGCTGAGTTCACACCAGGAAAATCAGTGTGACGAGCTTCTTCTAAAGAATCAACAGCACACCATCTCCCTCTCCAGTTCTTTTTTATGCTGTTGGCAACAATCCTCAGGTGGGCCTTCCGTGCCCAGCACTACACTGATTCAGTTCAGCTGGGTGTTACAAGTTGCCCACCACAGGTAATGTCGAGCCAGTGGGGAAGCAGGTCATGTAGCAAGTGTACATGGAAAAAGCAAGGACCTCAGCCTGGGGATTTAGCTCAGTGGCATAAGCACCTGCCTTGCAAGTACGCAGTCATGAGTTCAATCCCCTGTACCGATTTTAAAAAAAAGCAAGGGCCTTTTATAGTAAGGGATGGATCAGGAGGTCTTGGTCACCTACCTGGGTGACTGATATCTATCTAGACTTTATTGGATCAGGTGACAGTGTAGGGAACCACTCAGAGTGCTTCAAAGCTCAGCAGCATCTAAGGACACCTGAAGCAAGTTATGTAACTATGACTTAGTACAGGTAAACACATGTGCTGGTTATGGCACTGTGTAAGAAGGTAAATATGACACAACAACCTGTATCAGAATTATACAGTAAAGATGCGGGTGGCTCTGTTTTTTTTTTGGTTTTTTTTTTTTTTTTTTTTTTGGTCTTTTACCTTTTTATCGGTACCAGGGATTGAACTCACGACTGCCTGCTTGCAAGGCAGGCGCTTATGCCACTGAGCTAAATCCCCAGCCCCTGGTGGCTCTGACTGTTGTGCTCTTGTGCTCTGCTCCATGCAGTCTGCCGTTGTTGCTGATGTCTCGCACAGGCGCATTCTTTAACCTTGAGACCTCACCCATGAAAATCTCCCTTGGGCCCCCCAAGCAGCCAACAGATACCAATTATAGTATAATCTTCAACTTATTGCTTATCCCTTGGGGAGGCATGTAAGCCTAGTCATTCCATGTTTATCTTGAGGCCTGGCCTTCAATAGATGTGCCTCCAGCCAGAGTCCTAATGTGTTATCTTTTGCACTGACTTCCTTGAGGGTCTACCCCTTCTGACTGCTTGTAGTATTTCTACCTAACTTAGCTATCTATTATAGTTTCAGTAAACTAAGTGCCCAAGGCTTCTCAGGAATCAGGAATGTACAAACAATAGCTCTGCTAGTTAGACTATCACCATCTGTGTCATCACAGGTGCCTTAGAGGCTGAATGATTAAAAAATAATGGTTTCATGGCCTTTTCATAAAAAGAAAAGCTCATTTAATTAAATAGAACCTGAGTTTCTATCTACTCGTAAGTCACATACCACAGGTCTCTAACAGGAGGTCCCTCATATTTGACAGAGCAGGGAGTGGTTCTCAAGGGGGTCTCCCACTCAAAAACTACACTAAACAGTATTCCATGAGCAATATTTTTCATGGTCATCCTCTCCATAAATGTACGGTACAGTTTCCCAAAGGCTACTGATGTTTGAAGAGTGGTGAAATGTATTATTGTTTTAAATTTTCTCCACTGTAAATTTTAACTCAGTAAATATTATAACCCACATTAAAATGGGAGAGGGGATGCTGCTGAGGGTGTAGTTCAGTGGTAGAGTGCTTATCTAGCATGAGCATGGACTCAGATTAGATCCCTAGCAACAAAAAAACAACAACAAAAATGAAACTCCTGCAATATGGGAACTTTGCACTCTGGAAGCCATTGGCAACAAATACAGTACACACAATAGAGGCTGAAAGTGAGGATCACCCTTTCCTGAGGAGGAAACTGCAGGGACAGGGCAAGACAAGAGACACATCTGCAAAGGTGCAGAGTGTGCATGCTGGAACTTGCAGAAAGCACTGGACAGTCAGGCTCAGCCCTCTTCAGGGTCACACAAATTTCTTTGCACACACAACAGGAGCTGTAAATTTTTCTCATTCTGGTCAGGAATCTAAGAAAAACCTGGACATAACTTGAACCAAACAGGGAATTTTAGGGCAATCCTCCGGATTACAATGCCTTAAAAACCTCTTGCTTGTGTGTTTTTGTCTTAATTTGTGGATTAAAACTTAACGGACAGGAACAATAAACCCTCTCATACAATCCAAAATTCATTGTTTGATATGAGTTTTGATGCATATAAGAAGGAATATTACTGCGAGGTGCAGTGGTACAAGCCTGTGATTCTGGGACTCCAGAGGCTGAGGCAAGAGAAATGACTCCTGAGCTATATTAGCGAGATTGTACTTCAAAACACAAAGTAGAAATTGAAAGGATTTTGCCCTAAGGGGATGTTGCAGCGGTGGTAGGCGCCAGGGAGGCGGAAAGTCACCTTCCCCGCCTTTAGGCAATTTACCTGTGGTGCGAAATAATGCCCCTTAGGCTCCACCCCAAACCTAAACTACCTGTATACCCCCACGCCACGAGTCTGACAGAGAGAATGCCAGACCCCGAAGATCATGGGGTGTCTCTCCACATTCTTAAAATAAGGCCACTTTTATCTCAGGTTTGTGTCTTTTTAGCCTCGCTGGAAATTCTATCAGAAATGAAAGATTATGATAACTTAATATAGATTAAAATGTTAACTATTAAGTTTTGTTGAGACCCAAGTTAATATAAAGTATAGGATATGAACAAAATCTCTATACTCTGATTTTGTGTGTGTGTGGCTCACAAAACATACTTTTTTTTTTTTAAAGGCTTCTATTTAAATATGGGTCTGGAGTTGAAGATATGTCTTACTATGTAGGATTATGTTTGTCTAAATGTAGTAAATCGTAACATCAGATTAAAATTTCCACAGGTTAAAAAAAAAACTCATAAAGTCTAAAACATCAGTTTGGGTGGGGGAAGGGGAGATGCAATGCAGGAAAGGGCGGGAAAATGAAGCCCAAAGAAAGAAAGAGAAACTGAGGGGGCGGGGAAGAAACAGTGTCAAAAGCCAATGAACGATACCGAGCCTACGGAGCATGCGCCAGCCCTCTTCATGCGCAGGCGCAAGCCTAGTAGTCTCGCGAGAATCAACCGTCGCTGGTGCGAGCCCCGCAAAGGTGTAGGGCGGAGTGCAGGCGGGAGCGAAGTCTCGCGAGAAGAGGTGGTTGCCGTAGCTGAGCCGTCTGCTTCTGTGTCTGGGGTGCCGCCGCTGTAGTCGCGGACGGTTTGCTGAACCCGTTAGTGGTCCAGATCGAGACTGACGCCACCGTCATGTCCCGTTACCTGCGCCCCCCTAACACGTCTCTGTTCGTCAGGAATGTGGCCGACGACACGCGGTAGGAGACAGGGCAGAGACTCCGGGCCTGCTCTGGGAGGCCGCGGGCGCGCGGAGAGGTCGTAGCGGCGGCTCTGGGCCGGGGGGAGGGGCGGGGCGAAGATGGCGGGGCCTGCGCCCGCTCTGGCTCTGAAGCTAGGCCGCACCGTCCGCTTCAGCCGCGTGGGAGCGAGGGCGGCGCCGGCGCGCGCAGCCCGCGTGGCTGGAGCCCCGCGGCCCTCCCCTTCCTCCGCGCGGTCGGCTCCACCGAGCGATGTTCGGTGGGGTGCACGCCCCCTTGACCAGAAAAAAATTTTGCTTAAAAATAAAAAAATTCGCAGCAAAGTAACAGGATGAAGAGAGAAAAGTGTGAGAAAGCATCTACTGCCTTTTTCCTTTTTTTTTTTTTAACCATTGCTAACATTTATGGTGTTTAATCTTTAAGAGATTTTGAGAGACAAGGATTTGAGAAATGCAATGTTGCCCGCTATTTGGAGTACTTCTCGTTGTCTAGAGATTTTGGTTACCCTTTGGGAAGGGGGAAAGTTGAGAAAGTTTCCTGTTAGGCTGTGGGTAGCTAAATTAGATTGGGACTACTTTAGGCTTTGTTTCCAGCAATTCCCATAATAGCTTCGAATTACCTTCAGAATTGGAGGGGGAGCGCTATCACGTGATGGGGCTTTTCTTATTTCACAGAAAATCAGCAAACAAAAATGGGGAGCGTTTTTAAATTAGTTTTGTGTGATTTAGTGTTCTGTTTTAAGTACGGGAAAAACTAGTTCTTGCAGAGTGTAGGAAATTTTCACCTTTATCATTTTGACACTTTAAGGAGTTAAGATATATTTGTGGCTTTTTCAGACCGTATCTATTTACTGTTGTATAGCTCTGTTGCCACGATTTCACTGTAAAAACAAGTGCTTGATGTTTTTGAGTACTAGAGTTGATTTGGTAAAGAAAAAAATGTAATCTAGCGGTGCCTTACCTTTTATGAAAAACGAAGGCTGTAAATTACGAAAATTGCAATCGTTTCGTTTTGAGTCTACTCTTGTAAAAAGAGGATTAGACTTGCGGGCTACATTTTAATTTTTCATGTTCTTCTAGCTTTCCTTTATCAAAAAGATACATAGTCTCTACTTTTAGGGGATGGGGTTGGGTACTTAAGAATTATGTCCAGGGGATGCGAGCTACTTCTCTGGCCTTTTTTATTTTTTTTAATTTGGAAACAAGTGCTAAATTGCCCAGATTGTCCTGGAATTTGCTTGTCGTCTTCCTGTCTCAGTCTTAGAAGCAGATGGGATTGCAGCGGTGCATCACCATGTCCATTGCTTTTCTAGTTGTGTTTTTTGTTAGTTTTTATTATTTTGTTTTGTTGGTAGTGTTGGGGATTGAACCCAGGACCTTTGCAGTCGGCTGCACGTTCACCCACACCCTTATTTTTAGTTTCTGGGTTTTTTTTGGTTTTTTGTTTGTTTTGTTTTTTTGAGACAGGGTCTAGCCAAGTTTCCCAGGCTGGGCTTAAAATTGTGATCTGGTCATCCTGCCTGAAATTTACAGAGAGCTGGCATTACAGACTTGCACCATCACTCCAGGCCTTTACATTTTTGTATGTTAAATTTGGCTCTTAATGTTAAAGACTTGTCCTGTTTCAGATCAGGCAGGTCAGAAATAATTTTCAAGGGCATGAACATAAAGATTTGAGTTCCTTTTATGATATTTTTAGGTCTGAAGATTTACGGCGTGAATTTGGCCGCTATGGTCCTATAGTTGATGTCTATGTTCCACTTGATTTCTACACTCGACGTCCAAGAGGATTTGCTTATGTTCAATATCCTTTCTTCAGATGACTGATTAGTGAGGGGTGAAGTTTCAAATTCAAGTTTATGTAAGTGGTAACATCTAAAAAGTAGTTTATTTTTGTCCTCTAATTAATGTCTGTCTTCAAATTTTTGAAAATTAATTCTGACTCACATTGCTCTTACTATTTTATTAATCCAAAATAGTTAAATATTTAAATTCCCATTCATTTTGCTAAAATGCTGAAACGCAAATCAATGATTATAATGTGATTTAAATTGAATTCATTCTGGTTGCTACCACCTTTAATGTAAGTCAAATTAAAAGTATGTTCTTGTGCTTAGCAATTAAAGTTTAGTAGTCTTGTTTGTTAATTTGAATCACTTGATCAAAACAAATTGTATAACAATGAGGTAAACTTCTTTAATATTGTCCCCTAATTTGCTGTCCTCTGTTGTTACCTCAGAATGTAAAGCTGTACAGTTATGGCGACCCCAAAGAGAAAGCATGAAAGAACCTTTAGAGTAGAGTTCAACACTTAAGGCAAGTAGACAAGCCAAAGACCTCTTAAGGATCAGGCTTGAAGAGAAGGGAGAGTTTGGGAAAAGAAAAAATAAAGAAAAGCTGGAAGAAGGACAAGCCTAATGGGAGACAAAGCCTCGCTTTATCTACAGAGGGGGAAAAGGTTGTTTTTCAAAGTTAAAGATAAAGCCATCTGTCATATTTGGCCAAGCATCTCATGACAAGTCCTTCTGACAAGCACTTAAAGAGTTAAAGGTCAAGATGAAGTTGAATGATGGCCAAGATTAAAGGAGTCATACCTGATGTATCCTACAGAATAACTTTTCTTCTTCTTCTTCTTTTTTTTTTTTTTTTTAATGTTTTGTAAGCAGTTAATTTTCAAAATTATTCTGGTTTGGTCTAGTGACAAAACCTGTGACTTGATTTGTGTGGGCTTTGATGTTGTGATTGTGGTCTTGTGTAAATGCACTTTTCCTTAGCCTGTCAAGTTAAACTATAACAGGATGTAACACTGTTAAGCTTAAATTCGGCATATTTTGATTTGGTGCAGGTGATCAGAGACTCTTGAAGTAGCATGAGGTTGTAGGGTCAGGCCGCACAATCCTGCTTAAAGGGGAAACAGGTGCATGGACTGGAATCTATTTAGAAACAGCTCTGGTGGTCTTGCAGGGCCAGAGCCACTAGAAATACCATATAGATTTTTAGATGGCTGCTAAGAACATACACAAATTCCTAACCTCTGGCACTTAGCTGTGTGTAAACCTGCTGGCCCTGGACTACTTTACTTTAGCACATATGATCAGTTGACCTTGAATGGGTTGTATAGTATCTGATCAGAATCTATGGGAAATTGATTCTTGACCTAGTTTCAGATGACATTACTTCTTCCCTGTTTTGAGATCATCTTACAAAAACAAAGATTTGAGTTGTTAACAGAAGGCCAGGAAAAATACTGCCATTTAAGTTCTGTGAACCTCTTGCAACTTTTCAAGTGGCCAGAAAATGACTCCTACAGGCCCAGTGATGAAGGACAGCTGTGGAAATTAGTTGCCAAATTGTTACCTGGTTTGGGGTGGCCTAGAAACAAAGGTCAGTAGTTTGGTTTGTTGGGTCAACAAACAATGATTGTACAAAGGAATTTAATAAGAACCCTAAAATATAGTTACTCCATGACTGGCATCAAAGTACTTGACTGCCCCTACTGCTGCTGTGTCTTCTACTTGAGTCTGTTTGCAGTTGGTCTTCTGTTTCTCTGATTTAACAGGTAAAGTATAGAGCCTTGCCATTCACACGAAGCTCATTTTTGAGGGTAGATTTGGGATGCTTCATTCTTAATAATTTTTACAGCTCAATGTAAATTCTTTCTTAAATTTAGAGTCCAACTGCATTAATCTTGAACTTTCAGTTACATATTCTGTCTTACATTCTTCATCAGCCTTTTCATGTTGACTGCCTGGTTAAGACTTGGAAAAGCCTCTTCCATTTCATCTACACATAATGACCTCTAGAAAAGAGACCTAGAAACCTGTGGTAGTCCTTAATTCTTTCTGGCACAAAAAGTGGGAGGTCTAGTTGGGCCAACACAGACTATTTTGTCTCTGTAATAAAAAAAACACTAGTACCAATTTTGAAAGTGTTGCCTTAAGGGTATTTCCTGAATCAGTTGTCTAAATCTGTACTTATGTTCTCAAATTTAAGAAATAGAGCAAGCAATTTTTAGGAAAGAGTTATAAAGTTCATACTGAAAACCTATTTTAGCTCCTTTTCTAAACATTTTTTTATCAAACACTGCGTTGAATGTGTTGGAATGATGGTTTTAAAAGGGAAGCTATGTTTGTACAGAATAGCTACTGTAAATAAACCTAATGCTTCTAATAGTAATATTACTAGCATGAGGGGGAGGACAGGTTAGCTTAGCTTCTCAGATCAAAAATTCATGCATGCCAGCAGTTTATGCTTCAGACTGGTAAATACTGTTTTGTAGAAACCACTCCAGAACTCACTTGTTGGCAGGCAGGAAGCTTTTTTTTTAATATCGTGGTGTATCCACAGCTTTCCAGTCAAGGAGTCCTTACAGTGGTCTGTTACTTGTTGATAGCATGCTGTTATAGTCTGCACATGAATGGAATACACATTTGGCATAATGTTTGCGCATTGCTTGATTCTGTCTTGATTCCCTTAAGTGGCTAGCATGCTTGTTTTCCCTGTGCAGTGCAAGGAAGATAGCTACCTAAATAATAGTATTAGAAGGGGGGGTGCAGCAAAATAAACTTGAAGTTGATGCTTTCATCTTTGTAAGGTAAGGCATATGCAGCTTGCTTACACAAGAACTATTGGTGGTGTTTTTCTTTTTTCTTTTTCTTTCTGTTTGAAACAAATATGTGAAAATAGTATTTTGGGTTTAAGAAATTTTTATTGTAGCACCCAACATGAAATTGACCAACTTTTGTCTTTTCTGTCTTTATAAAGTTCTTAAAACTCAAGAATATTTTTTAATAGGATAACTTGATTCAGTTCTAACATCTTAGTACAACATAGTCACATGTTTTCTAAAACATACACCTTGGGGAATCACAAGTACTTGTATGCTATGAAGTGTTAATGGCTGAATCAACCAAGTAGTAATAAGTACAGTCTGGTTGATTTTTCTAGAATAATTTTGGGAGATTGTGAATTGTTCCCAGATTTACCAACAGAACTTTCATTTATTATCAAAGTTTGCAAAAATTCTCAAGCCCCTTAACATTTAGCACATTTGAGGATGTTCGTGACGCTGAAGATGCTTTACATAATTTGGACAGAAAATGGATTTGTGGACGTCAGATCGAAATACAATTTGCACAAGGGGATCGGAAGAGTGAGTACCCTTATGCCTACTAATGTGTAAACTATCATTTTAGAATGATATTTCAAATACTATCAATATTTCTCTGAAGTATTTGTGCAATTTGTACATTTGTTCAGATTGTTTTTAAAGAAAGATTGTCTTGGAGCCTGGGGATATAGCTCAGTGACATAGCACCTACATAGTACCAACAATCCCTGGTACCAAAAAACTAAAGAAATACTATCTTGATCACAAGGTTTGCAGATATGTAGGTTGTAAAGGGTATGTAGAAATCGAAATACCTGAAAAGTGTTCAGACTCTACAAAAAGTTGGTCAGTAATATTAATAGCGTGTTTAATACACTAGTAATAAAGTTGAAAGAAATTGCAAAGTTTTGGGTCTCTGGAGCCATTTCTCTTCAAAAAGATCTTCAGCTGGGCATGGTGGTGCATGCCTGTTTTTTGAGGCCAGTCTAGACTACACAGTGAGTTCAAAGCCAGCCTGTACTACATAACAATACTCTATCTCAAAAAATATATATATATATATTTTTTTTTTTTTTCAAAGTATAATTGGGTGATTGTGTGGTCACAGGACTATTGAAATGAGCCAATAGAAGTAGACTAGGAAAGGCTGTCTAAATTAAAGTTAAAATGGTACTTCATTTTTATGGTGCAGCTGTCCCATCAATGTCATATATATATGTATATATGTTTTGGGGTAGACCTGGGTTTGAATTCTTGTTCAACTATTATTTTACATTGGGCAGAAACTAAAAGATTAAAGTAGTTGCTAAGAAGAGTAAAAACTATTGATTTTTTTCTTTTTTTGTCTTTGTGAGACAGTGTCTCACTATGTAGTTCAGGCTGGCCTTGGGCCCACTTGTAGTGAGCTTGCTGCCTCTGCCTCCCAAGTGCTGGGATTACAGGAGTAGGCCACCAGCCCAGCTAAACTATTGATAGTTATCCTAATTACTTTTCTCCTTAACACCCAAAATTAAGGAAGGAAGATTTTATTTAGCTAACAGTTTGTGGAGGTTTTAATCTGAAATCAGCTGGCTCCAAGGCAGGATGGCCTGGTGAGGGGCAATAGTTCAAGGCTGCAGAAGATAGGAAAAGCAACAAGAGCAAGAGGGGAGCAAACTTCCTTTTCTCCCTTATATTGTATGCAGATCACCCACTCTAGGGCTGGTGTAGCACTCACACTGACAATCCCAGCACTAAACAATGAACCAGTCACAAACTCTAGATTCATCTGCCTCCGGAAAAAAGGGATAGAACTCATGATCTTGAGTTTGCCAAGCAGGCCCTTAGACTGCTGAGCTAAACCCCCAGCCCAAAAATCTAGATTATCCCTTTTTTTTTAAATCGATACTGGGGATCAAATTCACAACCTCATGCTTACAAGGCAGGTGCTTATGCCACTGAGCTAAATCCCCAGCCCCAACCACATGAGTCTTTAGGTGGACTTCAGACACAAACCATAACAATAATTTCCAACTTCATGAATTAAGTAAGGGGTTCCTGGGAATTTAGTATGTTGTTTATATACTAAACTAAATAATAAATCCCTAGCAACCCCCTCTGCTTTTCTGTCATTGTCTCTCAAGACTGCATAATCACTACATTTTGATGCTACGTGTTTTTCATAAGACTAATTAGGATTTTAAAAAATAATTCTGTATACGGATTACTCTAGTTAAAAGTAATTGGCACATGTTGATGAACAAGCTAGACTGCAAGAAGACATTAGAAAAACAAGGTAGTTGTGGTGATACATACTGTAATGCCAATACTTTGGGGCTTAGACTGAAGAAAGCAAGGAAGGAAAAGAAAACAATACTTGGGGGACAGAGAATAGTATCATTTTTAACATGAATCAGTCTTCTGGGTCATGTCTTTGGAAATAAATGTTTTCCTAGATTAATATTCAAAGCCTTGACCCAATTTAGAAATGAGAGTGATGGGCTGGGGATTTAGCTCAGCGGCATAAGCGCCTGCCTTGCAAGCACGTGGTCGTGAGTTCGATCCCCAGTACCAATAAAAAAAAATAAAAAACAAAAATGAGGGTGAAATTACTGTGTAGGGCTGTGTCTCATTGAAACTAGAGGCATCTCTAAAACAGATTTTTCTTTGTGTTTAAAAAAAAAAAGGTGGTAATGGTATTTTTTCTCTTATTTCTAACTATTTCTGTTTTGTGAATTTCTTAGCACCAAATCAAATGAAAGCCAAGGAAGGAAGAAACGTGTACAGTTCTTCACGTTATGATGATTATGACAGATACAGACGGTCTAGGAGCCGGAGTTATGAAAGGAGGAGGTCAAGAAGTCGGTCGTTTGATTACAACTATAGAAGATCTTATAGTCCTAGAAAGTAAGTGTGATGTACAATGATCTGTTAAAAAAGAGAGAGAGAGAGGTATTTGTAGCCAGGTATGATGGTGTATGCTGTAGTCCAGGTATTTAGGAGGCAGATTGCTTGAGTCTAGGAGTGCAAGGTTAGCCTCGGCAACACAGTGACACCCCATATGAACAACAAAAAGGGTGTATTTATTAGCTTTCCTCCCCCCTTTGACCTTTTGTATGATCTTAAGTAAAAAACGTGTGTGTGTGTGTGTGAGAGATGGCCTTTTTTAGACTAAAAATAATTTGTTTCATTTTTTTAAAAATTTAAGACATTATAGACATTTGTCACTGTTTGCTTTTTCTGATATACTTTTTAGCAGTAGACCAACTGGAAGACCACGACGTAGCAGAAGCCATTCCGACAATGATAGGTAAATAACTTTTGCTTTGAAAAAGACTCGTGTTTTTCAATTTCAGAGTGAACTTTTGCTCTAAAATAACAAATTTGATTAATATAGAATCTAATTTTTACTCTAATTGTATCTCTCCTCTGTTTTAAAAGATTCAAACACCGAAATCGATCTTTTTCAAGATCTAAATCCAATTCAAGATCACGGTCCAAGTCCCAGCCCAAGAAAGAAATGAAGGCTAAATCACGTTCTAGGTCTGCATCTCACACCAAAACTAGAGGCACCTCTAAAACAGATTCCAAAACACATTATAAGTCTGGCTCAAGATATGAAAAGGAATCAAGGAAAAAAGAACCACCTAGATCCAAATCTCAGTCAAGATCACAGTCTAGGTCTAGGTCAAAATCTAGATCAAGGTCTTGGACTAGTCCTAAGTCCAGTGGCCACTGATAGTACAAACCATGATAATTTTTAGGCATGTATCATTCATTTACTCATAGTTTGGTATACTTAAATTATCAGGATTACAATGTTGCAATGATGCATAAAAAACACTTGTTAGTTTTCCCTGTACCAGGCAATGGTTATAATTAAAATGATATGCTGTTGAGAAGACACTCTTAAGAGTCCAGTTTGTTTAATGTTATGGGCAGCTACCAATATGTGGTGTCTCTGTATATTTTTGTAAAGATTCTCATTTTTTATGCTTGAAGTATTTGGTGAAAAGATGTTGGTTGACCATAATTTGCAACATTGTCTTATTAAAAATAAACTTTCATATCCATATTTGGTAGAACTGTTAACCTAGAAATGTAGCTTGCTAATAAGATAGAATGATACAAAAGTGAAATTGCAGCCACAGTATAACACTGACTGCTCAGAAATGTTTAGGTTCAGGGTGGACCTTTATGTTCTTCAAGGTGGGTAGGCCCAGATAATAGCTTATTTATGATGCAGTGTGGAGTAGTGCTTTTGTTAACCCCACTGTCCTGGGCAATGATGGTTTTTTTCTGATTTCTATAACTGTTTGGAACACAAACACATCAGAAAAGCTCCCCTGAAAATTTGAGCAGGTCAGTGATGGCAGAAATAATTTAAACAGAAAAAAATGTTCCTAGTAGTTACTTGGAAATGTAAGGAGCAGTGTTGACCATTGTTGCTTAGTTTTCTTACTGCTGTTAGAAGTACATAAACTGTTTCAGTGTAGGTTTTGTTTGTGTGTATACGGTAAAGGAACTGAATTTTGATGCTTACAGCACTGGGTATGTGCATTTGTATCAAAATTTGCCTACTTGTTTTTGAGGGAGGCTTGCTGTTCACGTATCAGTTTATTTACTGTGAGGCAAGTTGAAATACAGCTCTCCCATTCTAAGTGATTCTGTGGTGCCATGAAATTTGAAATAATTTTGGAAAACAGGATTAGTTTAAGGAAGAACCACATCTCTGAGTTCTTGATTATCATTGTAGTACCTGACTAAAAATGAGGAATTAATACCTTCAACTATTATAATTTCTATTATTTCTGAAAGATTGTTTTGGAGGCAATAAAAAATGACTTGAAATGTCCAATCTCATTTCAAAATAAAAGCTGGCATCTTTTAAAATCTCAGAATGCTTGCTTATGGATACAAGAAAGAAATGTTGTAAGGAAATGATTCCTTTTAGAGAATTTCTTTCTCAATTTTGGTTTTAGAAATCTAGGCCTTGCCTGTAAAGAACTAAAAGATGGTTTTTAAATACTGTTTGTGGAATGTGTTTAAAGGATTGATTGTAGAACCTTTGTATATTTGATAGTATTTCTAACTTTCATTTCTTTACTGTTTGCAGTTAATGTTCATGTTCTGCTATGCAATCATTTATATGCACGTTTCTTTAATTTTTTTAGATTTTCCTGGATGTATAGTTTAAACAAAAAGTCTATTTAAATCTGTAGCAGTAGTTTGCAGTTCTAGCAAAGAGGAAAGTTGTGGGGTTAAACTTTGTATTTTCTTTCTTATAGAAGCTTCTAAAAAGGTATTTTTATATGTTCTTTTTAACAAATATTGTGTACAACCTTTAAGACATCAATGTTTGGATCAAAATAAGACCCAGCTTATTTTCTGCTTGCTGTAAATTAAGCAAACATGCTATAATAAAAACAAAATGAAGGAAATAATGATTAACTGGAATTATTATAGTATTGAATATGATTCTAAAGTAACAATGAAAAACAGTTTTTTGTAGATTTAGGGACATTTTTAAATCATTATTGCTCTAGGCATAATTTACTTTGGAATTAACAAAACGACGCAAATCTCAATTATATTTGGGTCGGCTAATTATAAATTTATACTATCGTTATTGGATGGATCAATAATTCTGCTCTCTCCCTTCCTAAACAAAATATATTAGGCTTTATGTTTACAACATGATTTAAAATTCTTTTTCTTTAAATGTTGGTGAGCATTTATTAAGTGATAACCACTTTGGGGAAAATGGTTTGGGTGTTTTGTGGATTGGATTCTAGCTACTTTATAATGACAGTTATAGCAGGTGATTATTAAGTATGATGTGCCAGACACTGTTTACGAGGCTGTATATTAACTCATTCGCTCTTTAAAAACCCTGTGAGAAAAGATACTTTTATTTTGCTTGTATCACAAAGAAACTGGGGCACAAAGAAAAGGCTATGAGGATTTGATCCAAGGTCTGGTTCTTAAATTTTATTTTGTTTTGGGGCTGGAGGTTTAGCTCAGCGGCATAAGCGCCTGCCTTGCAAGCAGGCACCGATAAAAAGGAAAAAGACCAAAAAAAATTTTTTTATTTTGTTTTACTTAGCAGACTATAATTTGAGAAAAGTAGGTTTGAGGAGAAAGCCCAGTGAAATTATTTTCAGTCTCTCTGTATGCAACTAGAACTGACTGATACTTTTCATTATATCTTTGTCAGGTTAGTTTTAAAAGCTCAGACGGTTTTTCTTGAGAAAACATGGTTTCTAAAATGGTATTTCCCAGAGCTTCACAAGGACTGAGTTTATGATAAGATCCTATTGATACTTAGGAACATTACACAGTGTTTTAAACTAATTTTGGTTCATGTTGAGTTCCACAACTACTGAGTGCCTGTTGTATGTCTGGCACTGAGCTCAATACTGTAGTTTTGTCATCAACACTCAACTGAGGGCTGACACTTCACCTCTCTTTGTACTTAAGATTTCTCTTCATTTTTTTTAAGCCAAGTAAGCAAGAAGAAAAGTGGGACATAATGCATCAGTGAGAAAGGGAAGGTGCTACGTAGGGTATGGGCTGATGAGTAACAACCTAGGGAAAGGCCTAGGAACCACTGTACTATTCTCTTGAAAAAGTGGCCCAGTAAGCTGCTACATCCAGTTCAACTAACAAAATCCTGTATACCACAGAGAAGAATAAAGAAAACCAAACTGACAAACATCCTTCTTTTATTTAAGACCAAACTGCAGCTGGAATACCCAGTACAGTTCTGCTTACTACACTTCAAGAAAGATCTGAAAGCGGAAAAAGAACCAAAGAAGGGCAGTTCAAGCGACCAAAGGGTGGGTGGAAGGTGCTGCAGTATGAATACTGTACGAATATTTTGACTGGTATGAAAAGATAAAAGAATTATCGAAAACTACATGGAATAATTGAAGTCCCTTCAAGTTTGAAAGTAAGCATTTTAGGACAAATAAAAGGAAATTCAACTTTGTACTTGTGGAAACTAATCCCTAAATATGAACAGGTTTATATTGATTTATGGGTAACAGGTCCATAATTTATTGAAAACTAGGATGTCTGAGTATCAAGGAAGACAGCCATAGTCTCTTACAGTGCCTCTATTGGTCTGTCTCAAACTGAATTGGGCGGGAAAGGTATGGTCCAATGTAAACTTTCTCTTGATTATTTCTTAAGTCATTTCCATTTATGCCATTTTTGGCAAATCTTGCCTTTGCTTATTCTGGTGCCAGTGTTTTCTGCTTAATTGTTTGCGTTGTTGGCATCTGAGTTTATTTACTTGTATATCACATACAGTTTACATTACCTTAAACCACTCACTTTCCCAGGTATAGTCCCATTATACTTGACACCTAGCTGAGAGGGCCCATCTCTTCTCACCCTCTTCCCTAGTCAGTATGTCAGTGCATACTTAATGGAGCCCTTGCTACGGGCAAAACATTGTACTGGATAACTGGGGAGAATAATAGATAGTTCTTTTATTCCATAATGTCTACTGAGCACAATCTAATCATTGCAATATGGCCTTATTGTTGTGAGGTATTATTATCCAGTGTTTTGCACCACTCATATAATGTAATTATAAACCCAATATACTATCAGAGATAACTAATTTTATGGTTACCTGCCATTTAAAAAATATCCAGTATTTTGTTTGCATCCCATTAATATGAATAATGAAAAATGTTTTAATCTGTAATAAATTCATTTACTTTGCTGTGACTGTAATATACTAGAGTTATATTAATTGTTAACTCTGCCTCATTCACACACATAATAGGAAAAGAGATCCCCAAAAATAAGTATTTAATTTTGCAATACATGTTCAGGAGGCCCTGGGTGCTATGATTAGATTATTTTGGGGAAGACAACTGTTATCCCATCTGATTTAGTATGTTCTGTAATTGAGAAAATGTTTGCCAGATTATACTTTTCAGTGATTTACATGTGCATTTTGTAGGGGACTTGTTCTGTGTATAGTGAATAAATAACTTTTATAGTGTTACAAAATGTTCTGGGTTCCTTAGTTCCTTATTAGAATATATGAGATTTATCATATGATTCCATCTCATTTGATTTTTGTCACATTTCTGCCACATATTTTAAAACTTACCTAAAATATGGAAGTAAGAGTTTGAGCCTTTATTTTACAAGAGTTTCAAAAGTATAATAGAATGCACATAACTGAAGGGAGGTATTAAATGTAGGTATTTATATCCTCATGTAAAAAAAAATTTTTTTTTTCCTAACTGCCAAGGGTCCCAAAAGCGATAAATACTAGGTTAGGGTTGGTAAATTCTGATTCAGCTTTGCTTATTTTTAATCAAGTTAGTAAATGTTTTAATAGCTTTATTTTCATAGAGATAATAAAACTGATAAGGAATCTAGAGTTAGAGAAGATTATGGATTCCGTTACAAAATGTATTTGATATTAGGTGATCATTAGCATTGAACTGGTAGCTTTTTCTGGTAAAGGTTGTGTGTTTTTTTTTTTTTTTTAAACAGTACCTTTGCAAGTCACAGATGTTTGATTCTCTACCTCCCTTGTCCATTTCCTGTTGACTTGAGGTTAAAACATTTCAGGGGGGAGAATTAAGTTAATACTAGTAGAAATTTTTTTTTGAAAACTGGTGAATACATATAGTATTGTCCTTAGCCTTTGATTTTTCTTGATGGAAAGTATTTTGTTCATTTATAAATACAATTAACAGTACTTGATCTTTAAAGTTTTAAACGTGATAAATCAGAAAAAGGCCCTTGTGGTTTTGGCACCTGTCAAAATGTGTGTTGTTTCAGTGTTACCTTCTGTGGTTGTTACTTTATATATTGAAAAGGCTGTCAGTGTTACTAAGCACTTAATGTGCTAAGCCATGTGCTTTCCAGGGACTCCTATTTAATCCTAAAAACACATCTGGGAAATGGATACTATTGTTTCATTAATGAGAAAGTTTTCATTTATGGAGTACCTACTGAATAGTAGGCTTTTGCATATACTATTTCATTCCTCAAGTTTTATCTCTTTTTAGAGACTTTTGACCATGTGCCTGTTGGACTATCCCTGAAATTATTAAGGCTTTCATTTGAGCAGTAGTTGAGAATAATCTAATGACATTCTGTTAATAGGGTCATCAGGCCAGGAGTGTAATATTCTCATGCGATGGTTGATGGCTTGATAAATAGTTGAAATAAGTAGCCTGTTTGTCTTTAGCTATTGCTTCTTACAAGGCATTGTGCTAGTCATTATGGAAAGGGCTCCTTCTCTTGGGTCTTTGCCTCATCCTTTTATCAGTGTTATCTTTATATTTGTGTACCTGTAAAATCCTTTCATCATTGTGTTAAAGATGGGGATTTTTTTGGAATAAAAAATGAGGCATGTAAATTCATTTCATTGATAATTGACAGTTTGTAAAGACAAAAGGCCTTTGTATTTAGTTTTTTTGCAGATCCCATTTCTCTGATTGCTGGAGAGTGAAATAATAAACTGGTCTAGGAGCCAAGAAAATCTTGGGGTTTTTTGTTTTGTTTTTTTAAAAGTTTTGCTCTATCTTATAAATATACTATCCTGGTAGACTTCGCGTAATAAGTTTTACAGATACTGTCTGCCCGTCTGATTAAAGGTAATGATCTACAGTAATGCAACTAAAACACTAGGTAAATCTTTCAGACTTGTCCAAAACCCTTCAGGGTTTTTTCTACCTTGTTCTTGTTTGAGGGTGGATAATGAACTTGGACTTCATTTACAATGCAGTACCATCAAAAAAGATGAGGACAGGGGATGTAGCTTAGTGAACAATGCTTGTGTACCTTGTGGAAGGCCTGGATTCAATTTCCGGCACTGGGGGGGGGGGGTTTAAGTATTTACTGAAAGCTGTTTTTCAGCAGCCCTACACAAGATTCAGCCTACATATATAGTATTTTTATGTCTCATAAGTGCACTAATTTGAGACATTTATGTTACTGTATTTTAGAAAGTTGACCACAACTTTTATCAGTCTCTCTCAATAATAGATGATTGTATGACTTGTCTATCATTAAGCTATGAAAAATTTTATGGTTAATTAGGAACTTCTATTCCTGGCCTTCATTCTTTAGAGTAGTTTCAGCAGTTTGGCTTGAATCTATCCAAAGTAGTATACTTACGTATTTCAGTGTATAGATTTAAAACATGCATAGGCTAAGAATTACTCAAAAAGTGAAATTGCAGTGCAGCAAGAAAAATTTAGCAATCCCTAGAATTACTATTTTGGGGGCTATCCTGGGAACACAGAAAAGAGAAGGAAAAAGAGGCCAAAGTAATGGTTTTTCTCCTTTACCTTTGAATTTGCTGTTGGATGAGAAGGTATAACCTTGCTTTGACTTACCCATAACATTTGGAAACTACTTGCTAGAAGGCAACTGTGTAATAAGCTTGCCTTACAGAGATCCCCTTGTGAAAAATTCATGTAAACAAGTTCTTCACAGGAAGAACTCGTTTCTATTTTGAGATTTTTTTGGTGAAGGGGACTGGAAGTTGAATCCAGGACTTGCTTGCCAGGCAAATGCTGTGCCACTGAGCTAAATCCCCAAGCCAAGTTCCTTTGGTTTTTGGTTTGTTTTCTTGATACAGGGTCTCACTAAGCAGTTGAGGCTGACCTGAGCTCACTTTGTGGCCCTGACTGGTCTCAAAGTTGCAACCATTCTCTGGGCATGTGCTATCACACTTAGCACAATTTGAGTCCCTGTGCTAATTTTTTATATTGAAATCACTTTGGAATACAAACTTAGACTCATTTTACTCAATTTGACCTTCAAGAGGTTTGAAGTTTTGCTAATATTCTTTGGTTTATTACTGTTAGCATTGCCAAGAAAGAGTCCCAAGTTAACTACAAAGCTGTAGATCAAATCAAAATAACTGGACAGCAAACCAGTCATGAGTTCAAACCAGCCTAAACTACACAGACGCTGCCCCAAAAAAGAGCAAGAGAAAGACAGATAAGTCAGTTTTTAAAAACAAGGGCCAGGAATTTAGCTCAGTGGCTCAAGGGCTTGCCTGGTAAGTGCACGGTCCTAACGTCCAATTCCTAGTACTAGGAGAAGGAAAAAGACAAGCCATGGGAGGAGAGGACTGGTGAAGTGTAAGTCATTAAAAACAAGCTACTAGGGAGAAAAAAAATTTATTTTTTAATTTCATGTTTCAGATTCATACTGTATAATACATCAAGACCTACATAAACTTTAGAATATTCAGTATTTAACTTGGGCAATATAACTTTTCTGTTTATAAACATCAAAAGTGATGCCATTAGAAAACTGCATAAGCAAGTTTTTTCTAACTCACTACTGGGTTGGATTAACACTGTATTTTGGATTGGGGGTTGTTGAATGTCACACAAGACATATCATCTTTTGCATGATGGTCCCTTGGGTTGATTTAATGACAAAAAACCAAAAGTCACTTCCCTCTAACAAAAGCCAGAATTAATCTTTGGATTTAAATACTGAATAGTAGCAGAATCTTGTACTGCACTTTTCATCTCTTAAAAATAGGAATGTTTTAGCAGCTTAAACTTTAGTTGCAATATAAAACATTAAGATTTACTTTGAAATACAGTTACAACCGAATCAGTTATAATATACATATACTGGCACTTTAGCACAAGAGCAAACTTTAAAAAGCATTGTGGACCTCTAAAACTAGGCCATAGTGTTAACAGTCCATGGTCTTACATTCAGAAAATTCATACCAAAATATTTCTTGCAGGATAAAAGCCAAGAAAACTGTACATATGCTACAAGCTTATTACATGTATTTACATGGCTCTTCTTCCCTAAGTACTTAAAATTGTCACATTGTATCACTCCCCGCTTTAAACTCTCCCAAGAATGAGGCCAGATACTATCAGAATAGCTTGTGCAAAGTTGTAACACAAAGATGTATTTTGAAAGTTTGATGCAGAAAAAGTTTTTAATGCATCTGTTGTCAGATGCCTGTTGGCACTTTTTTCCCCTGCTAAGGGCAACCAGGGTATTTATTTACTGTGCTTTCTTCTAATTACACATTCATCACTGTACAATTTAGGAAAATACAACTATTTAAGAAAAATTCACATTTTCTTTTGACAGTGCATTATTAGGTTGTTGGTATGTTACTGGTTTGAGTATTCCTAAGACATTAAACTCTCAGGTGTCTGCCTGAATCACTGTTAAGTAAATATGGCCCATGAGTCTTAAATTACTGTTTTCCCTTGCTAAATAATAAAAAGTTGATTCCTCAAATCTAAACTTTGAGTCATTTCACTTAAGTTACCTAATTGAGACCATTATCAAGTACAATTAGTTTTAAAGTTGCACTGATACTATATCACAGTGCACACAACACAAATGAGATGAAGTCTGATTGTAGCTTTACATCATCAATCTTAGATTCTCTAGTAAATTTTTTTCAGACCAATTAACCACTATCTGTAAATATAATTAAACTTAGACATCTTTATACCTGCACTTTAAGTAAGGTTTTAAGCTGAAATGTCATTATTTCCTTATCTGAAGGGTTAAAGGAAACAGAAACCCAGTGGCTCGGTGGTTTGGGAAGAACACTTGGTGATGGTGGCTCACTAAATTTGGCCCCAGCATAGTTCTGATTAGCTTGAGACTTAAAAAGCAAGCTGGGACTTGACAAACTGGAGTTCCAATTCGGATTATTTGGGAAATTCTTGTTCTTCCCACCATTCTGCATGGCCTGCCACGCAGCTGCTGAGGAGCTATAAGCATGTCCTCTCTCTTTTTTCTTATGAACAATCTTCATCTGGGAATTCTGATCCTTGGTTTTCTGTCTATTAAGCTGTTGTTGATTCTTAGTAACATTTCTGGATTGAGGAGCTGGCATGTTATACCTCTCTCCACCGCCCATCTTCAACTTCTTTGTCACCTGTAAGGAGATGGAAATGATTTAAGTTCCCATAAGGAAAGCTCAACAGTTCTTTTAAGCTCTTACAGCTCCAGTTTCTAACTCCAGAAATCCTGGTAAGACCCCCAAAAGTGGACATTCCATAGATGCTTTAACTCAGTATTAAGACTGTGCTTTTATGCACTGCCTGTATTATTTTTCCTAAGAAAAATGAACTAAGCTTCTTATAAAAATAAGTGGTTTAGAATGGGTCCATCATGAAATGTCCCACTTTGATGTGAGTTTATACCTTTCAGTCTGCTTTTCAGATTGCAGTATTTCCACTACTTGTCTTCTTCCTTGCTGCCAAGCCCAAGATAATAGGTGCTGCTTTCTTGCGGATCCTTTCCTTTGTCTCAATGCAGAAGTTTTCATGGGCTGATCTGCTAAGTTCAGTCTAGACGCTGAGGTCAACATCTGAGTCTCCTCAGCACACAAGTTTGAGAGAAGTCCTTGCTAGAAAAGTAAGGATTACTTGATCAATTCAAAAACAGGAGAGAGTGATTATTTACATACTACAATAGGAGCTGACTGCGAAAGAATGACTACTTCCGGAACAAAAGTTTCTAGTGCCTTCGGTGTCAGGATGGGAGCTTTGACCTCATAATTACCATCTAAGAATTCGAGCTCCTAAGGGACTTTTTTTAGAGTAACTGCAGGTCCTACCAATTTTATTTTTTTCCTAGAAAAGATCTTCGTGCTGAGCATGGTAGTCCACGCCTGTAATTCCAGCAGTAGGTAGCTCAGACAGGAGGTTTCGTTGCGAGGTCAACCTGAACTACGTAGTGAATTCACGGCCAGCCTGTACTACGCAGCGAGACCGTCTCCAAGAAAAGCCTTTGTGATCAGGATACTAATTTATAGCCTTCCCAGCTAAAACTAAGAAACCATGCTTTTAAGGTTGTATGACAATTTTCGATTTTTTTGACACTACAAAACCGATTCCCCACGAAGCCGCCGTCTGCGAGCGTGGCGAATGCTCTTCTCGGCTAAGTGCCCCTAACTCAAGTTTCACCAGACACAGTCACCGTGCGCGCGCACCTCCCTACGGCCAAGGTCCGGCTTCGTTTCCGCTTCATGTTCCGAGAGCAAACGAGCAGGAGTAAGCCCCTTCCTTCCTCGAGGATAGTTAGGCGGCCTTTTGGAGTTTTAGTAACCTAAGCGAACACCGAGTTCTGGCTTCTGACTCATCACAACTCGCGTCGGCAGCCACCCCCGCCCGGGTCCCAGCTCCCAGCGCCTCGCCCACCGCCTTCCCAACAAAAGAGAGCGGCCGCCAACATGGCCGTGCTGCGGCCACTTACCGACTTCAGCTCGGACCGCAGCGGCGGCTCCCTCTCGACTTCGAAGCTCCCCTTCCTTTCCAGGGAGCGACAGTCACGGCTCAGACAAAGCCCACGAGCACCACCAACAAGCCAACTGCAGACCACCCTCTCTTCTTCCGACCCGATCTCCTTCTGTCTTTACCGACAAAATGGAGGCGGTGGCGAGCACAGGGGCGGGACCGGGAGGCTGCACGGCCAATCAGCACGGCTGTAGGGTCCAGCCAATGAGGAGCGGGTCACCGCCTGTTGCTGGGGCAGGCAGGGGGCCTGGGCGGGGAGATAGTTGATGCGAAGGGTTTGAAATCCTCGGGGAGGAGCATGTTGGGAGTGATCCCTCGCAACTCCTCGGAGAATTTCCGGGGGCGAGGGGGCGTTCGGTTCTCGCGTCCCGCAACAACCGATAGGTCTGGGCGAAGGGTTCCCGTATAGTCGCTCCCGGGGCCGGGCTCCTGCTCCCCGGTCCGTCCGCCGCCGTCTGCGGGGGCTCCGACACGCGACCAAAGTGGCCGCTTCCTCCCGTCCGGTCCAGCTTCAGTTAGAGCCCTGTATCTGCCCGTGTCACGGTTGCGCGCCCGCCACACACCCTCGAACCCGCCGAGGCTGTATTTTTCTGATCACAGCGCCTGTAACATTGAGTACCTGGGAAACAGTGTCAGGGTTAGGGCTGCTCCCAGATGACTTTTTTGTGTGTCATTTGTAAGTGAAAAGAGGCAGAGAGCCGGGGATATAGCTCAGTGGCATAAGCGCCTGCCTGAGAAGCGCAAGGTTGTGAGTTCAATCCTTGGTATCAAAAGGGGGGGGGGTGTTCCTTTAATTATGCCAGCAAAGTGCAGAGAAGGGGAACAGGACAAATTTGTTTCACCTCCCAGTCCAACCTTCTGTCCTGGCTACAGATTTTAAGGAGTTACTGAGTCTTAAAAATGTCATTTGTTATTGTAATTTGGTAAAACGAAGAGCTATTTTTAAGCTTGGGGACTTTCTGGTGCTAAAGCATACTCAAATAGGATGTACTTGGTGAGCCAACTGCTATCTTAGTAACATGTGATCTGTTTCCCCATATTTCACAAGCTTCCTGGGACAGCCAGCCAGATAATACCAGGCTATATTTGATGGTTTAAGACTTTGACCTCAAAAAGGGTCCTTGCAATATTTTTCAAAATAATGACTTATAAGTCAGTTTCAGTTTCAGTTTAAGCCATTTATTTTTCTAATTCTTTTTACTATCCTAGTCCAAATCTCTCTCCAATGTACCCTCTTCTCTTCACTCCCACCTTGTCCTCCTTTCTCCTACCCATTGATTCAGTTGTGTTTTCTTTTAAAACCAGTGCACTGAGGATACAGCTCAGCGGCACAAAGCCTGCCTGGCAAGTGCAAAGTCACGCATTGGATTCCCAGTACAAAAAAAAAAAAAAATCCATTGCAGTAGGCAAGTATGGTGGCCCACGCCTGTACAATGTTTCTAAAGATCATAGCAAAAGGAGTGACTTTATTTGTGTGATTCTAAGCCATGGTGAAGAAGGGATACTTTTGGAACAAATAGACTTGTTGACCCGAAGAAACAACAAAGTTCTTCAGAGGGGATCTTCATAGAAGATTGGCTGGAAAACCCAAACTTTTCATTAATCAGGTTAGATGGCAGCATTGAGACAGACAGTGGTTCCCACGAGGTAACAGCATGCTCTGCAGTACCAGGAAACAATATCTCATCAAATACTTCAGATAATACTTTGAACCTTACCATTTCCCTAGCAAAAGAACCACAATGAAGCTACCATAAAGGCAGAATAGGGAAGTTGAAATTGAATTGAATTAGGAATAAATAAATATGGATATTGATATTGTCTTAGCTACTTTTTTTTGTCATGGAGACAAAATACTTGACACTGAAAATGAAGGAAAGAAAGGTGTATTTATCTTACAGTTTTTGGAGGTTTCAGTCCACACTCAGTTGGCTCCAAGGCAGCATGGCAGAGGTGAGGAGCAACCATTCATGGTGAACAAAGTGACAAGGGGGAAACAGGCAGAAAAGGGAAAGCACACCTTCTCTCTTCCTTTAGATTGTATGCCAGCTGCCCACCCCTGGGCAGGTGCAGCACTCACACCAACAATCCCAGCGCTAGGCAATGAACCAATGACAAATGCTAGACTCAGTCACCTCCATGAGGCTGCATGAGGCTTTGGGGGAACATTCAAACTACAACATTCCACCCCTGGCCCCGCAAAGACTCACCGACATCCTCTATGCAGAAGACATTTAGTCCATCTCCAAGATCTGCCAAAGCGCTAACAGTTTCAGCACTGCTGCAAAGTCCAAGGCCCAAGTCTGCCAAATTCTAAAGCAAACTCTTAGCTGTAACCTACTGCACAAATGAAAACAAAGTTGAACACTTTTCACATTCAATGGCACAAGATAAACATTACCGTTCCAAAGGGTACAAACAGGAATACAAAGGAATGGTACCAAAGGAAGTCCGAAATCCAGCAGGGCACACATTAAGTCCTGGAGTCCCAGCTCAGCATCTGAAATAGTCTGGTTGTGGGGCTGGGGATTTAGCTCAGCGGCATAAGTGCCTGCCTTGCAACCAGGCAGTCGCGAGTTCGATTCCTGGTACCGATAAAAAAGAAAAAGACAAAAAAAAAAAATTAAAAAAAAAAAAATAGTCTGGTTGTGAGCTCCAAAGGTTTTGGAGCACTTGCAGGGGTTGCACTTCCTTGGCTTCTCTCTTAAACCCATTCTGTCTTTGCAGCTTTCCTTAGCTGATCCACACTCCTGACTTTTCCAAACGTCTTGATTTTCTGTTGCACCCTTCACACTCACAGCTTCATGCACTTCCCTCTCAGGGGCACACTGCCTGGCCTCCGGGCCTTCTTAAGTTGGGGTGGAAGCCTTTCAGCCTCAGAAGGCGTGCATTCTCCATGCACCTAAAACCAGCTCCATGTAGATGCCGCCACGGCCTGCTGCCAGCTGGAGCAGTAGCCAGGCTTTCCTCTCTCTTGGCTATAGGGGTTGAGCGCTTGGACTCCTGAGCGCTGTGAATCTGACTGTACGATGCAGTGTCTATCTTGTGTCATTGAATGTGTTGCCGCCGTTTTGGAACCTCGTGTGGTGTCCACCAGCATTCCAGGGCATGGCACTCTGCAGCTTTCTCCTCCAAGCGAAAGCTTTCCCTTTTGTAGTTTTGGGGCTGCCCACCATGAAGACCTGCTGCTTCTTCCTGTGATGCCCGCAGGCCACCTTTATTTCTGTTTCCTCTCAGCAATCGATCTCATCTCTATCTTTACAGCTCACGGCTTTACTGGAGTTCTCTTTATGTTTGTAGTATTTATATATGCATACGGATCACATTCGTAATAGAGAATTTGTAACTGTACATGATATAACTTTATTTTTTCCCATTTCCCCTCCCTTCCCTTCCACACCTCCTCCCTTTCCCATTTACAAAAGCTTTGTTTTCATATTTTCCTTCTCTCTCTCTCTCTCTCTCTCTCTCTCTCTCACTTTTCCCTTCTTTCTGTTCCCCCTCACTTTTTACTTTGTATAATAGCTTCTGAATTTTTTTTTTCAGTAAAGGGAACTGAACCAGGTCCTTTTACACTGAGCAACATCTCCAGCCCTTTTTTATTTTGAGACGAGGTCTAAGTTGCTAAGTCGCCCTAGTTGGGCTCGAATTTAAGATCTCTCTGCCTCAGCCTGCTAGGGTGCTGACACTGCAGGTGTGTGCCGCATCCCTGGCTCGCTCTTAGACTGTTTTATATCGTCTGACCCTACGCCGTCAAAGTCCTTTCATGTTTGTGTTCTCCCTGCAGCTTCACGACACTGACATCTTTGTTTCTTTTCTTAACTGGCAACTCATGCCAATGCCCTCACTAACTGCCTAACAATTTCCATTCTGCAGGCAAAGAGACGATGGCTCAAAGAGATGTCTTCAGGTCTGCCGAAAAGATCTTGTGTTTTAAATATTTTCCTTGAAATTTGGCCTTGTTACATAAATAATACATTAACTGTGGAAAGGCAGATATCAAATAAATCTCACTAATATTTCATCTCCCAAGCATAACTGTAACTAGCTTTTTCTCCTCCCCTCCTTTAGTTGTTGTTATTGTTGTCATCATCATTTGGGGGCGTTTTTGGTGCTGGGAATCGAATCCAAGGGCCCTGCTCATGCTAAACACAACTCTGCCCCTGGCCCAGTGCAGCCGCAGCGCTAATGTGTGAAGGTTTGCTCTTCTGGTCTCTCTCCTGTACTGAGAGGCAGTAGTCCTCATGCTGACAACAGACCCCAAAGCCTGCCCAGATCAAATCTTAGCTGTGTCTTCCTCCCATGAGACTGACTAGCAGGCTGTCTGACCTATCTGTGCTTCAGTTTTCTCATCTGTAAAATGGGGATAACAACTAGTGACATTATTGTAAGGCTTCAGTTAGTCAGCATCTTTGAAGTATTTGGAACAACACTTGGCACATAGTAAGCCCTCAATTACTCAGCCTTTTTTTTCTTCTTCTCTGTAAAAACAGTAGTAAAAAATTGCCAGGTGTGATAGTGCACACCTGCAATCCCAGCCCTTGGAAGGCTGAGGCAGGAGGATCGCCACAAGTTCAGGGCCAATCTGGGGGTATAGTGAGTTCAAAGATGGCCTGAACACCATGTGAACACATTTCCATATATATGTGCCATGATGAATTGACAACTAGTGGTCAACTTGTAACCCCCGCTGAACCCAATCAGCGTGGAGCTGTGTGTGGGTGGCCCTCCTGAGGATTGTTGCCAACATAAAAGGGAGAACTGGAGAGGAAGAAGTAGCATCGTTGGTTCTCTTGGGTGCTGTTGGTTCTCCTGTTGCCCTGGGTTCTCCTGGCGGAGCTTGCCAGGCTTCTTTCCTGATATGAACTTGGCTGTTCTCCTTGTCAGAGGAGCTCAGGACTTCGTTGTTGTTGAGAATGGCAGCCGTTCACTCTGGGGGAGCCCCGGCCCTTACTTTGAGCATCGCTTCCTGACTCCAGTGCAGCCCCTCGGTCTGCTGGCGCAGACTTTCTGGCTTCCGTGCTGACCTTTGGGCCTTCCCAGCACAGATCCATGAAACAGACTTGCATAAGATATTGTCGTGGGCTGTCGGCCTTCAGCTGGCCTCATGAGAGGTGCTGTCATGGGCTCTAAGTCTTCAGCTGGACTCACGCAGGACGTTGTCATGGGATCCAGGCCCTCGGCTGGATTCTTTGGGTCTTAGTGTGTGGCTAGATTTCCTACCCTCTTTTGTATTTGACTCTTTGGGTGACTATCATAAAATAATACTATAAACTATGTGTCCTGTATTTTGTTTTCGTTGCAAACCCTGACTACAACATATATATACACAGATGACTGTGGACAGTATTGTAGGTCATGACATTTGTCATTGCTTTCACCATTCTCCACTATTTCCTTTTTTTTTTTTTTTTTTTTTTTTTTTTTTGGCTATTACCTGCCAAGATGAATATCCTGATAAACAAATCTTCATTGTCTTCAATAAATTTCCTTCAACAAATTCCTGGGAGGTAAAATTATAAGGTAATAAGGTAAATACAGAGGAAAAGCTTTTGATACACAGTACCAGACATTTTGTAGAAATTATGTATCCATTTGGCCCCCACCATCTGGATACAAGCCAAGTCCCAGCTCCAGCTTTGTGGGTGATGTTCTCTCTTGTTATTTGTGGCTGCTTTTCTGACATTGGATCTGTGAGAGGTAGGGAGCTGTCAATTGTTATAAATAGTCAAAAGAACCATAAATGTTTTTCAAAGATGACATGTTCTGGGCTGGTTGTGGTGGCACATTCCTGTAATCCTAACACTCGGGAGGCTGAGGCAGGAGAATTGCTACCAGTTCAAGGCCAAGCTGAACTACATTCAAGGCCACACTCGACGGCATAGTGAGATCCTGTCTCAAAAAATATAAAGAAATTATAAAAGTATATGTTAAATATGGCCCTTTTACAAAACATGCCTGCAAGATAGCTATTTTCTCAGGGGATCCTGGAGCTAATAAAATATCCTAAATCATCACTGTTGACAGCTTCCATAGCTATCAATTGGGCAGTTAATAAGCCACAAACATCTGGAATTCTCCAGACTCAGGCAGAACAATGTTTGTCCTCCGGCCTATTGCTTGGACTTGAAAAGAGACCATGAGTCAAGCTTCCAAAGCCCAGGAAAACTTGTGTCTTGCCACAGAAAGGAAAAAAAAAAGATTGGCATCATCTCAATGGACAATTATAAGCGCTTGGCCTGGCTGACACCAGGGTATGACGTCCACCCTGGGAACAACAGGCAACAAGGAAGTCTCCCTGCCCACAGCTTGCGTCATGATGAGGTAAAGTGACTTGGCTCCGACTCTGGTCTCTTGATTACTGCTCAGCACCAAGCCCTGCTCAGCACTGCCTTCCTTTAAACATCTTTATTTCAATACAACTGCTATTTATTCAATTGAAAAGCACAATCTTCTGCGTATTACAAATGTGATGCTTGTTAGAAGATAATAGTAAACACTGAGTACTTCACAGTGAACAAGGCACTCTGGTAAGAAATTTGTTTTATTGGGGGCTGGAGATTTAGCTCAGCGGCATAAGCACCTGCCTTGCAAGCAGGCGGTCGTGAGTTCGATCCCCGGTACCGATAAAAATGAAAAAGACAAAAAAAAAAAAAAAAAAAAAAGAAATTTGTTTTATTGTTTGATTTAGCTCAGTGGCATAAGCACCTATCTTGCAAGAGCGTGGTCGTGAGTTCAATCCTCAGTACCAATAAAAAAAAGAAAGAAAGGAAAGGAAATTTGTATTATTTTATTTCTCTTCCCAACCCTGCTAATATTGACATAGGAAATGATATCAGGACTTCTGAATATGACACAAGGGAGGTATTATTCTCAACCCTGCTAGATGTCCCATACCCCAGCTTGTGTTCCCTAAAATCAAAGAATGAATTCTAAGGAACAACAGAGGTTAAGAGGAGGAAATATTTACTGAGGGGGAGAAGTGCGGCTCCTGAGCAGCAGGAGGGCCCCCAAGTGCGTTGCTGAGGACCCTGCTTCTCAGGGGAAGTTTTACAGAGCGCAGCCACGCAGGTACAGTGTAGGTCACAGCCATGATCAACCAATAAGAGCGTAAGTATAGCTGCTTAGGTTACACTGATGCGGTGGGGAAGTAACTCACATAGCGAAGTTTTTCAGGAAAGGATGAGTCCGAGGGTTTTGGTCACCCTTCAAGATGACCGATACCTAGCTAGAGGTCATTAGACCAGGTGTTACCACTTATATCAGGCCTGGTCATTCTATCTTTATCTTGAGGCCCAATCTGCAACAGATGACCTCCGGCCACAGTTGTAATGAGTTTTTATCTGCTGCACTGACTTGCTCGCTCGAGGGCCCAGCCCTATCTGACTGGCCAGACTCTTTCTATCTAACTTACTGTCTATACTAATATTAGTAGTATTAGCCCCATTTAACAGATAACAAAACTGAGGTTCAGAAAAGTAAGTGATTTGCCCCAAGGTCACACAGGTAGAATGTAAGCCTGGGTCAATCTGATACAAGGGTTTTTTTTTTGTTTGTTTGTTTGTTTGTTTTTTGGGGGGGGGTCCAGGTTCTTCTGTTGCCCAGGCAACTCCACAGCCTTGGAGTAGCCATCGAAGCCTCAGGCACACAGCACTGCACATGGCTCTGAACACACTTTTGCCCCTAAACACCCTATTCCCCAGCGGCATCTGCAGAGTCCATGGAAAGTGCGAAGAATTCAGCTTGGTCCAGAGTGAGGCAGCCGCCCTTGCGGGTCCGGGGGATCCTCAGGCAGTAAACTTGCATCACTCTGTCTACCGTGATCAGAAAGGAGGCAAAGGAAGCAAGAATGACGCCCAGAGCGCCCCCACCAGGCCGCCCCTTCTGGAAAGATGTTTTCAAGGTGAAAGCTGTCCACAAACACTGAGGCCTCCGGTGAGGCATCAGGGAGCAGAGCCCGGCTAAGCCAGCTTCCCAGCAGCCAGTGAGGAGGAGCCGCCGCTGGGAAGGCACCGCAGCCCGGTAGCTCCCAAACAGGTGCAGGAGGAGAGGGAGGGAGCTTTCGGTATCTATCCGGCCGAGGGAAGAGCATTAAGCCATCAGGAGGACACACAACTTCACTATCCTACACAACTTACCACAACTTCACTATCCTACAGTCAGTAATGGACTGAGAAAGCCAGACGCAAAATAAGCAAGGAGATGAGAGAATTTGAAAACCAAAATAAAGCAGTTAGATCTAAAAGACATACAGTTTGCAGTGGGAGGCTGAGGCAAGAAGACTGCAAATTTGATCTGGAAAACTGCAGTTTAGTAAGATGGGGTCTCAAAATAAAAAATTACAGAGAAGTTCTGGAGAAGAACTCAGTGCAAAGGCCCCATATTCTGTACTGTAAGAAAAAAAGAACATTCACGACACCAGTGAATTTTAGTTTTTGAGATTGGGTCTCATGATGCAGTCCTGGCTGGTCTTGAATTCTATATAGCTCATGCTGGCCTCAAACTCAGGATCCTCCTGCCTCAGCCTTCCAAGTGCTGGGATTACAGGTGTGTGCTGTTTTATAAATTCTTATATTTAAAACCGTGATCTCAATCAAGAACTAAACTTTGTAATTTAAAAAACTACCAAAAGAGTAAACTAAACCCAAAGCTAGTAAAAGGAAGGAAATAAAGATTAGAACAGAGATCACTGAAATACAGAATACAAAAAATAACAAAACTACAGAACCAAAATTGGGTCTTCACAAATATCAGTGGGGCCAGGCACAGTGGCACAGGGGCCACCTAGCGGAGGGTCGCCAGGAGCTCAGGGCGGCCTTGCTTTCCACCACTGTGCTGTCCGCACACACACGGCTGATTCAGTGTCTCCCATGAGTGTGAAATGTTATGATTTACAGAAACCTTGGTTGGCTGGCTGCTCATGAGGGGAAGAACGAGCTGTGTGTAGCCATCGTGGGTTCAAGAAAGCTGTGGATTTTGGTGCAGCGTCATCTTCTGGAAGTTTGCTGCCCTGCCATGTGGGAAAAGGAAAGGCAAACCCACCCGTCCACCACCCTGGTGTATAGCATTTTCCTTCTTGCTATGTGGGAGGTGATTTAGGTCCTCTGGACTCTCTACGAAGGCCCTCGGTCTGAAGGAAGCTGCTGGGCCCAATTTCACGGTCTCTACCTCCTAATATCAAAATCTCCCTCAGGATTCCCCAGAGTTCCTGGGCCAGGTCACACACAAGAGAACTTCGCAAACACAAATTTCTGCAGAGCCTCTCTGGTACTGAGAGAGTTTTTGCCTTCAAATAGCTCCACCCCACATCCTCCCAGTTAGATTCTGACACTGTGCATGTGCCAGGGAGCATGCAGTGGAGCTATAAAACCTCCTGGCTTGGACTAGGGATTTAGCTCAGTGGCGTTAAGTGCTCACCTGGTAAGCACAAGCTCGTGAGTTCAATCCTCAGTATCAGAAAAGAAAAAAATAAACTCCTGGCTTCTTGGATTTTCTCTTTTTTTGTAACCACGTTCTCAAGAAAGAACATGTTGGATCAGGTTTAAGTCCAGAATAGAAAATTTGCATTACATATATATGTTTCAAGTAACAAATCAGACACACAATCTTAAGTATCACATGGTTTATTTCAAGAGAAACCCAAAATAAAAATAAGGAGGAAAATAAGAAATATTGGGGCTGGGGATTTAGCTCAGCGGCATAAGCACCTGCCTTGCAAGCAGGCAGTCGTGAGTTCGATCCCTGGTACCAATAAAAAAGAAAAGACAAAAAAAGAAAATAAGAAATATGGTAATAGATCTTTCTCAAAAAGGAACAGGATCAAGAGATGGGGATACAGGGAAGAGGATGAAAGAAGGAACAGAGATGAGTTAGGTACACGGACCAGCTTCCCACAAAGAGTATAAGCATGTGCTTCATACCTACTAATACAATAAAAAAATTTTTTTTTGTACCGGAATCAAACTCATGACCTCACACTTGCCAGGCAGGCACTTATGCTGCTGAGCCAAATCCCCAGCCCAATACAATAAAATTTTTAAAAGAAGCACTTCTGCTCAGGAGGCTTAGGCAGAAAGACTGCTACAAATTCAAGGCCAGCCTGAACTACAAAGCGAGTCCCTGTCTCAAAAATAAATAAATACATACATAAATAAATAAATGTATGTGTTTCAAGAATGCTGAGAATTAATTTTTAATGTTTTGGGAGGTATTTTTTCTACTATGGTTTTTTGTGAATTTTTTGTTTTGTCTTTTTGAGACAGGGTCTCATTATGCAGTTCAGGCTGACCTTGGGCTCACTTTGTAGCCCAGGCTGGTCTCAAACTTGCAACGATCCTCCTGTCTCAGCCTCCTGAGTGCTGAGATTACAGGAGGGTGCCACCACGCCCAGCCTCTTTTTTGTTGTTGTTTACTATTTTAATTGCCTTAGTGCTTCAGCTAACAAAAGGAATGCACTCCATTCTAAAGCATTGCCTGAGCCCTACTTCATCACCTTCCTGGGGA